TGGAAATATTTTAGAGGAGAGACTAAGAATTAAAGATTGTGGCAAATGGAAATCTGGTCCAAAAAAAACAGGTCACATGTTATGCCCTGTGTGGTAGGACTGTGACCGTGTGGACGCTGGGTGAGTGACCAGCCAGGCACTGGCCATGACGAGCCAGAGAATGGGGTGATGGGCACTGGGGCTCATGAGTCAACAGTGTCACACAGTTCTGCAAAAGCAAACAGCCTGCTGGGGTGAAGAAAGAGAAGTGGCACTTCGGGGAAGTGGCATCTCTGCTCCAGCTGGTGCCTTTCAGTGGCTCGACTGGAATATGCAGCTCTGGGAGTCCTCTAAGAAAAAAGAGAGCAAGGAAGAGAGGCTGAGTTTTGGACACTTGGCAAATACAGCTCTGAGGAAAGAGTTGGGTTTCAGTTGTGCAGGAAAAACTGATGGAGATGTGAAACCCATTCTCCAGATGCAGAATGTGTCTGCAGAGAAGGGGGCAAATGATTTGCTGTGTCCTTTGGGGGTACAAGAGGAAGCAATGAGGTTGATTGGATAAACATATACAGAGGGAAGAAAGCTGGGCTCTGTAGGAGCTTCAGTTTTAACAGAAACACTTTCCCTGGGCAGGGGGAGGGATGAGGACCTGGGAATGCAAAGTTCATCAGGGTGGAGAGCAGTGTCAGGGGGACATGTAGCAACCCGACACGTCCCACAGCAGGTTTGGGGTCACAGCAACCTGGGGAGCCTGCAGCAGATCTGTCCCCAAAGTATCACAGGGGACAACCTCAGCACCCAGCAGTCAACGGTACAACCATCTCTCCCTGTTCCACCTCCCCACCCTGCAGTACAGATGCAGGGTGAACCCACCTGTTCCCCATCAGTGCTCCATGCCCCACAAGTGAAGAGGACGAAGGATGTTGGCAGGGGGAGCACAGCTGCCAGCATTTCCTCATTCTTAAGGCCTGGCAGGTGTCCTGGGTAGGTTTGCAACACAGCTTTTCTGACTGAATGCTGAAGGGTGATTTATTCCCTTTGCCAGTTCCTGGTTTGTGCTCTTGGGGAGTTCCTTCTGCTTTGAAATGAGAAAGAGGAAAAGGGGCAGCAAGCCTGGTTTTCCCCTTCCCTTTCCTGCAGAGCAGAGGGCTTATTTCCAGTCAGCCTGTGCAGGACCAAAAAGTTTCCTGAAATGTGCACCAGAGCTGGGGTTAAAGCAGCTTTGGATAAGCCCTTTTCTTTTTTAAATCTGTTCCAGTCCCAACAGGTACACAGTACTTGCTGTGCTCCTTGAAGGGGCATTCCAAGTGTGGAAAAGAGTCTGAAATGCTATTTTCCCTGGAAACAAAACAGCTGTAGACAAAAAAAGTATTTCTGCTCACAGTAAGACCTGAATTGAGACTTCAGGTGCTGAGTGCTCCTTGTCTGCTGGGGCTTCTCAAGGGTTAATGCAGCAGGGAGATGCTTTGCAAACAGAAGCTGTAGGGCAGCTTCATGGTTCAAAGGTCTCTCCATGCAGACCAAAAGTCCTCTGGGAGCAAAGATCACTCCTGTTCCTCCAGTGTGTGTGTTTGTGGGGCCATGCTCCATGGAGCTGGGTGGCAGTCATGGCTGGCAGCACCCAAAGGGACCATCCCGGTGCAGAAAGCACAATGTTCCTCTGCAATGACTTAGCCAAGTGCTTTGCTACATCAGCTGATTCTTCATGCAGCTTGCTGGTCTTTCAACACACGTGCTCATTAGGGGATGTAGGTGATAATAATGTGCTTTATCTCAAATAACTCCCGATGCAGAAGCTGAAGCACAGAGCAGGCTCTGTGATGACCTGTGGTCAGGCTGAATTCACAGCAACTCAAGACTCAAGACAAAAGCTAATCTTGGGGGAAGACACAAAAGCAGTTGTGTTAGCCAGGGTACTGCTGGGTCAGACTGCCTACATGAGGCTGAGCTCAGAGATGAGCTTCTGTGCAAATGGGAGCCAGTTGCACTGGGCAGGACCACTACATGGAGCTCCTTATGAGATTGCTGCCCTGTATTTTGGCACAGTTTGACTCAGCTATATGTTTAAGACACTGCCTTTTTTTGTGAGAGTTGGGGTAACATTAAGTTGTCTTTTATCTGATAAATCTGAAAACCAAGACAGTGAAATGGGTCTTGATTTCTTTTGGCCAGAACTGAAGCTTGTGCCTTGCCACAAGTCCATCCTTCTTCAGGGTTTGTAACTCAAGCACCTCCAGACTGCAAGTTGCAGGAGACAGCTAGGCTATCCTGCTGTACCAGAGGAAGTGAAAGGGGCCCAAAAAGGTGGTCTCGTTGTTAAAGATGTGGTCAAAAATATCTGGCTCTTCCCAGGCAAACTTGCTGGAGTCCTTTTCTCATCAGTATCTCGGTCCCCCATGTCTGTCAAAAGAGGATAACGACTGAGCCAGCTCCCCGTTAGTGGTGGGGGGTGATCTGCTTGGCAGATTGACTCTTCTGTGAGCCCAAAAACACCTGAGTGGGCTCCTGCAGCCCAACTCCATCCCATCCTGCTATCCTGCTGTCCTGCTGCAAAACCTGAGCAAGGGCCCTCAGTGTGGGCAGGGAAGCAGAAAAACCTTGTTTGCCTGGCGCCGAGCCTAAGCTAACAGCCTCAGCCAAGCCTCAGGTGCAAAACACATCGAATTATCCATGTTTTTCTTCTGTGAGAGCCCCTCCCTCCCTTCCTCTGCCTGGGCAACAGAGATTTGACTGCTTCTTTTCACCCAGCTTTTGTCTGTCTGATCCCATTCTCTGGGGCAGGCCAGGCCTTCTGGCCGGTTTTGGTAGGGTGTCTGGCAGAGGGGAGCTCCTCATCTTGCTCATTGCCATTACTGCTATTGTCCTGCAAATAATAGCAGTCATTGCAATGCAGTCAGTGAACCACACACAGGAACAAGAATGCTAGAGCTGGACATAGCATCCCCATGCAGTGATATAAGGGGTGTCATTAGTAGCCTAGCTGAAGGGTAGCTTTACACTGCATTAGATACTTTAATTAGGGTATTGCTTCCCAGTTAGGCTTGAAGGTAGTTTACTTCCAGAGGGCTGTGCTTTAAATCATTTTGTTGCTTCCTTGGTGAGAAACCGATCTTGAATTGCATGTGCTGTAACTCAGAAGGGCTGCAGTACCCTTGATAGGGAAGATCAGTAAATGAGGTTTATCTAAGGCTGCAAGATGATAAAGATGTGTCTGAACACCATGGTATTCACTCTTGACCTCCTTTGCTTCCAGGTGGCTCTGCAGCATCCTGGCCACAGTGCTTTGCACTAGCTTTGGATGGGTTGACCTTGCCATGAAGAGTTAGCTTTGGAAGGGAGAGTTTTAAGCAGGTAACACATTGCCCATACATGCAGAAAAAGCGGTGTAGACATGGTAAGCCAGGGGCGGCAGCAGGAGACAGGGGGTCTGCATGCTCTGCAGAGATATAGTGAAAGAAACTGTTGCCTAATCAGACACTCCATTTCCAGGAATCTGTTAGGCAGAGACCACAGCATTTATCTTGGCAATGTGCATTTACAGTGAAAGAGAGATTTTCTCCTCCTTCCTTGGGAGGATTTTGGTGCATGGCAGTGATGGCAGGTGGCAGCCAGCAGCAGGGACCACGCTGTCATCCTACCAAGGGCTGTACATCAGGGATGGGTCCTGCTCCAAAGCTCACACAGTCAAAGCATGACAAATAATAACACCAAGATCCACATAAAAGATTTTGAGGCTTCTTACTTTTCAACTGTCCTGCTGACTTCAAAGGCCATTTACTTCTGTCATCCTTTTTAATCAAAATAACTGGAGACAGCAAAGCTGTTTATCTCCAAACATTGCCAACATCTCTCTACATGTTCAGTGGCAGTTACAGGACAGAGAAAACACACTACAATAAAATTAGCTTGCAGCAAAATTCATGTCCCGGTGGGAGCACAGAGAGTGCTTCTGAGGTGCTTTAGATCGATTATGAAATGTGTCTGCAGGTAACAACCACTTTGTCACCCTGAATGTTGATTTCTCTCCCCTTGGCTGAGAGCCAGAGATGCATCTCTCTGTTTTGAGATAACAGTTTGTGTATACAAGTGGTGGAAAAGGAGGTGGGGAAATGTGTAGGAAAGAAAGCTCATTAGGCTGAACAATAGAGTTGGCCCTGGAACAAATAGTCCTGGTCACAAATAAATTTAGGTGCAACAAGGTTTCTAAGAAGTAAAGCAGTGAGCTTTTGATAAAGACCCTTATAAGAAGGAGCCAGGAAAAACAACCCAACATCTTTTCAGATAGCGCTGCTTTACTTTACACTAGGGGTTTTGCAGCCCAGCTGGTTGTGGACAAAGAGGACTGGTGTTTCCATGATGCACTCCAGCAATTGACCAGAGCTCCATTTGTGAGGTTGCTCTTCACCTTGAGAAGGCCCAGGTGGTCCCTTCTCCCTCCTCACCCATGTGTTTTTTTTTCCAGGCTGACAGCCCTTTTCCAGACGGGGAAAGAGTGACACCCACTCTTTCCCTATGGCTTTTTTCTAGGCTTATTCCCTTTTTTTTCTTTGCAGTGGAGTGAGCAGAACTGCAATGTGCTGTTAAGTATGGATTTATACAGTGGTATAGTAGCATTTTCTGTGTTGTTTTGTATGCTTTTCCTACTAATTCCTAGATGACTAACATCCTAGTGACTGGCAGGGGTCTGTGCACAGGCAGCTGCCTGGGTTAACCAACCTGACACAGCCAGCATCACCAAATCAGCCTTGCAGCACTGAAACCCTTCTGCAGGTCTGGAACATACTTCAGAGTGAAGTATGAGTAATTCTGAGTTTAACAGGACTTTCTTATCTAGAGCATGAAAGAAAGTCTATGTGATGTGTCAGGAGCAGAGGTAAAGGGGAGAAGTCTGCATGTCTTTCTTTGGCATTTGGTTTCTCCTGGAAGCACTTCTTCCATGAACATCTTTGGTCTCTGGGACAAAGGATATTTGGTGAGAGGCAAGGAGAGCAGGCAGACCTCTGCCACTGAAACACTACTGTCACTGAATCTGTGATTTTTTTTGTATCCAGGATAGTGAATCATACAGTTTTACCATCCATCTGTTGAAGGTGTTTTGTAGGCTTTTCATGAGGAGCAGGACTGAGATTTTCATACCTGTGCAAGAGATCTTCTCCTCCAGTAACTCAGGCTCTGCTTGGTATGTGCCTGCCTGGGAGCACCGAGCTGGTATTGTCAGAGTAGTACAACCTCAGATCATTTTTCTGAGTGATCTTAACAGATTTACAGCTCATTAAAGTGCACATATATTTAGGGGTGAGGGGCTTATGCCCATAGGCAGCTCTTGCCCTGTGTCAGTAGTGAATTTTGGTGCTCGGGCACTTTGAATGAGGAGATACTTCCGCAAATTCTTCATCAGTAATGATTGACTGGCCTAAGTGATCATCACGCAAAAACTTCATCTTCTCAATATTCAGTCCTTTTCCCAGACTGCTTATGAGCATGTTGAACAACACAGATCCTCGGGGAAATCTCTTGATAACCTATACCCATTATGAAAATTATTTATTTCTTCTTAGCCTTTGTTTCCCATTGGTAACTATTCACGCAGAAATGCCCTTCCCCTTTGCACCACTACTGTGCCAATGGTGAAAAGCCTTGCGTGAAGAACTTTTCCAAAAGCCCATGAAAAATACAGCCTGTGCCACGAACCAGGTCACCCTGTCAGAGTGGTCACCTTCACTTTGAAAGAACTTGACTAGCTATAAGGCAAGACTGTACTCTGCCAAAACCAAGTTGTCTTGTTCCCCATTCCTTAAGGGCAAATTTGCCATTCCTTAAGCCAAGAGGCAGATTTGAACAGCTGGTGGCAGCAGCCTGCCAGTTCCCTGAGCTTGTGTTGACCTCCAGGCCTGCCTGGTATGCTGTCTGTGAATTTATTGATCTGATTTAAACCTCTCTGTGGCTCAATATCTAATTTGTTAAGGAGAGCAGAGTGTTACAGGGCAAAATTCATTAATGTTTGTAAAGCTCATCAAGATCTTTCATGAGCAAATCCCATCATATTTTAATATATTTTTTAAATGTCATGAGTAAATTCTCATTACTCATTGAGGAGCGGAAGCAAACAGCACTCGCCAGACCCAAATATTGAAACAAGCAGAGGCTGTAGCTCTCTTCATTTACCTCTTTCAGGACACTTTCATTTCAGCTGAAACACCCTGCCTAGATTCTGCTTCTGCAAATCAGAAGCAACCCATCTGGTTTTCTCAAATGCAGGCTCAGAGATCCCCATGGACCCCTGGCTCTGGGCTTTATGAAAGATGCCTGGTAGCTTCACAGGGGTCTGAGAGTTGCTGGCCCTGGTCGCTGTTAGCATTGCCCTGGCTTTGCAATGTGAGATGCCAGCATGAAGAACAGCAAAGGATGGATGAGTGTATCCAGCAGGTCCTGGATCACACATATCCAAGAAACCCTCCTAAAACCCTTTGCCTTCCAACCCATCGTGGTGCTTGTATATTATCACTCACTTGCTGGTGGGTTTGGTACCCACCAAGTGCTGGTGGGTCCTGGGCTACTGGGACCAAAATCACATGCACTTTTGTTTAAGTGGCCCAAGTGACGTTCTTCCCCATGACCGCAGATGTGGTTTAGATCTCTGTTAGAGCTTCACAATGAACTTGCATTTCCCTTTGTTTTCCTGCCAGGATGTCTGGAAGAGACATGGCCAAACCCCTCCTGGGCCATCAGACCATGGAAGGTGACCCCAGCACCACACCTGCGGCCGGCCGCACCATCGGGGTGCTGGGGAGTGGGGACTTTGCGCGGTCATTGGCCATCCGCCTGTTGTGCTCTGGGTTCAAGGTGGTGGTTGGCAGCCGCAACCCAAGGCGAAAAGCTGGCCTCTTCCCTTCCGCAGCAGAAGTTACCTTGCAGGCTGAGGCGGTGAAGAAGACGGATGTCATTTTTGTGGCAGTTTTCAGGGAACATTACTCCACCCTCTGTGACCTGGCTGATGTGCTGGTGGGCAAGATCCTGGTGGACGTTAGCAACAACACCGAGATCAACCATCGCAAAGAATCCAATGCCGAGTACTTGGCTTCCCTGTTCCCAGCCTGCACTGTGGTCAAGGGATTTAATGTGGTTTCTGCATGGACACTGCAGTCAGGTGCCAGGGATGGAAATAAGCAGGTACTGTTTTCTTCTGACAAGGGCCAAATCCCAACTTTCAGCAGCTGAGGTCTGGTAGCACCAGCAAATGGCCTTAGTCTCCAGCAGAAGGGGCCTGAGTGCTAGCTGTGGCACCCAGAGACCACCCCATAGCTTCCACATTTCTTTGCTCAGAAATTAAGTACCCTCACTTACTTCATGCTCTGTAGTCTTTCGAGCCTCTGCCTAAATGAAAAGTATTTATTTATTTGTTTATCTAAACACAACCAGTAAAACAAACTGGTGATGCACACATGAAAGGAAGCCTATCCATGAGAGAGGGCTTTGGCAGCCATGGTAAATTCCCATATGAAAGCCTGCCAGGAAGCATAACATAGGCTCCCTTAATATCCTTGCTGCCGCACTCAGTCCCAGCAGCCTGATCTCTCTTTGTCCTGTGTTTATGTTTCTGTTCACTGCAGGTTCTAATTTGCTCAAATAACCAAGAAGCCAAGCGCACCGTAGCAGAAATTGCTCAAGTGATGGGATTCACCCCTGTAGATATGGGCTGCATGTCATCAGCCTCTGAGATCGAGAACATTCCACTGCGCCTCTTGCCAGCCTGGAAAATCCCCATCTTTTTGGCTCTGGGGCTTTTTATTTGCTTCTTCACTTACAACCTGATCCGGCAGGTCATCCACCCTTACATCAGGGAGCAGAAGAACAAGTTATACAAGATCCCCATCGAGGTGGTCAACACAACACTGCCTTGCGTGGCCTACGTCATGCTGTCTCTTGTCTACCTGCCTGGGGTGCTGGCAGCCTGCTCACAGCTCTATTATGGCACCAAATACAGGCGCTTTCCAGATTGGCTCGACCAGTGGCTCCAGCACCGAAAGCAAATTGGTCTCCTTAGCTTCTTCTGTGCAGCTTTGCATGCTGTGTACAGCTTCTGTCTGCCCATGCGCCGCTCCCACCGCTACCAGTTAATTGAGACAGCCGTCAAGCAGGTAATGTGGGTAGTCTTCAGGTCAGCACCTGTAGTAATCTTCTACACACATCGGGATGTCAGGTAATAGGCTTAGTACCTTGGCTTTTGCATTCATTTTCCAAAGTATGGGTGGGACAGTGGGAATAAGCTGTTACCTATACAAGCTCTTCCTCCATGGGGCAACCGCACACCATGCATCAGAGACGTACCTATCTGAACTGAGAACCAGCCATCTTAGCAAGCTGCTGCACATGCATCTTAGCAGGACCAGGATCAAACTCCCCTGTGCCATAGCTCCCCAGAAGCATGAGCAAGCCCTTGAAACCAGCCGTACCTGGCACCCGGCATGTCTGAGACTGGTGCAGAGGCAGGAAAAATGCTAGGAGAAATCCAGTAGTGGAGGAAGCAGAGTACTCCTCAAATTTTCTTCCTAGATTTTGGGATAGCCCTGTTTGCTCACACTGACATTCACAGTAGGTGCCTGCTGGAGTGACCAAGTCATAATTAGGGGAGTGGGAGTTGTTTTGTAGAAGGTGTGTCCTCACAACTTGCCTCCAGGAGCTTCACAACAGGATGGTGAAGAACTGGTCATAGTCTAAGAGAAGGAGGAAATGGAAAAGGACTTTACTGCCTTTTTGAGACTCTTGTCAGTGTCCATCCAGTGTGAGAGTGCTATCTGCAGACAACTCAGCCAGCTCTGTAATTCAGCAGTGTCATGAGGAAATGGCATTCTGCCCTTCTCCTGCCCCTGGCTTCTTTCTGCTCTACCCCACTCTCTCATGTGATGGCACAAGCTTTGTGCAGCTGAGTGGGGAATCTAATGAAGGAACTGCCCCACAATCAGTCTGCTTTCTCTACTGGGATACCTGCCTCAGGAGGAGGGAAAGGGCTGTGGGTGCAGAGGGGAGCAGGATGGCTGGTTTTGGCAGCAATGCCTGTCCAAAGCATCCCTCAAACAACATCCCCAACCTCTCAGCTCCAGCCTTGAGCAGGTCCTTCTTCACTGCCACAGTCACACATTAATCCCAGACAAACATCCTGTGTTCATTTCCCTCTACCTCCTGTTTTCTAGCAACATCTTTGTTTAGTAAATTAAGCCCATTTAATGGGTTGAAGAGGACAGTTCTAAATGCTCCTCTTTGCCATGCAGCACAAAACCTATCTTCCATTAGCATGAACAATTTCCCCCCTAAATGCACTTAAAACAAAAGTTATTAGCAGAGTACTGCATATTCAAGCATCTGTATTTGTTTTCATGGCTTTAAACTGACTTCTCATTCTGATTATCTTTCCAAATGCAACTTTGGGGCTTGCTGCTGTGGTTACAGGCTATGGGAGCTGAAAGCATTTAGCAATTGTTCCCAGTAGGCTTCAAATCAGGTCTAGCTTTGGCCAAATGGTGATGGGATAGAACAGCATTTCCACACCTCCCAAATAGACAAATAGTGCTGGTGGCATGAATAGGACCAAATGTTCATCAAGGAAACCTGCTTCCAAAACCAAAACAAATACAGATAAAATTCAGCTCCTCTATTCCTAAGCACTCCATTTTAACAAACCTTCATTGTCATTCCAGGCTGTGGAGAAGAAGATGAATATCTGGGTAGAGGAGGAAGTCTGGAGGATGGAGATTTATATCTCTGTTGGAATAATTGCCCTGGGCTTGCTGTCGTTGCTTGCCATCACTTCACTTCCATCCATCGCGAACTCTCTTAACTGGAGAGAATTCAGTTTCATTCAGGTAAAGTTGGTATTTACCGATGCCAGAGAGTGATTTTGCAAAGTCTGGCCCTCACACAGACCACAGAGGGTAGAAGTTGACCTATCATCCCAGTACATCCCTGCTCCAGCACGGCAACTGCAAGCTGCACGCCAGTGTCAGGGGCAAAGCCTGCCACTCCACACATCCCTGTGCACCCTGGAGCCATGGACACCCTGCTCAGGAGGTGACACCGAGAAGCAATAGCAGAGCAGAGGGATGTGGGTGTCCCGGGGGGGCATACTGCTCTCCTTCACGGCTCACCCTGTCTGCATGGGGTGCTTCTCTCAGGGGTAAAGGTAGAATGTAATGTGCCATGGGCACCCACATGAGGATTAGTGGCAGGCTTAGCAGTAGAGAGTCTTTAATGTCTTGGTTTCTCACCCTGCATTTGGCAGTACTACTTAGAGATCTTGAGAAAAAAACAGCATGGGCTTTGCCTGTGTGACACCCACCTGCGGAGTCCTTTTCTGCCTCACTCAGTGGCTGGGAGCAGCACTGCCATTCATAGCTAAAAACCTCCTTAAGTCACACAAAGTAGAAAGGCAGAAAGCCTTAGGGTTATTTTGAGATGGCAGGGTTGTTCACTTCCGTGGGTAAGATTCCCCTTGGAGCCAGTTGTTTATCAGTCATGCACAACATGTTGGAGCTGCTGTGGAGAGTTTGCACCAGGCTGTAGAGGGCAGGCAGGTAACCTGCCATGGAGATGGTTGGCTGGAAGAAACGGATCTGCCCTTGCATTTCAGACAGAGTGAGTTTCTGTAAAGGAAAGCATCTGGGAAAAGAGCAGGGGAAGGTCAGGTTTGGCAGAGCTTGTATGCACCCAAATACTCAATAGACAGGTTCAAAAATGCTTAGGCTGGTCTATAAAAGTGCCAGAGCCCAAGAAGCACAGAGAACTGAGTATGATTTGAATGAAAAGACCATGTCTGATACTAAAAAGTAAATTAGGAATGTAATTTTTCTTTATCCAAAATCAGTCAGCGGTTTAGGAGCCTTCTTTCCACATGCAGCAATGTCCAAGCTCTCAAGAGCCAAATTCCCTCAGTGACCTAAGTCCACCATGTGGGACATTCACAAACCCCAAACTCGGGGGCTGCAGCATTCCAAGGGATGTGCTTGGAACCAGGCTTAGGGCTAACTAAGGATAGCAGGGAATGACTCCTCAAGTATTACCTGCATATTAGAGAGGATTTTGAGGTCACATTCCACTCACCATGTCACTGTCATATCCCATAGCCCTAAAATCCCTTGTTACTTGTGTCTCCTACATCACTGCTGCTTTGCATGCACCAGGCTTCTCGCTCTGCTGCAGTGACACCATGAGACACCCTAACGTGTGTGAGCTCCCACGGGACCCCATCCCCCTGTTATCTTCCCTGCAGACCCTCTCTGTGCATCACACCGGCACACACCTAAACTTTCAAAAGGGGAGGGCAGGGTTCACAGGTGCAGAGGTGAATATCTATCATGCTGCCTCTCCTGTTGAAGCTCTTCCATGCCATATAAATAATTCAGTACTCATTAGAGCAGGAGTTTGAAGCCTGCTCCCTCCAATTCCCCCACAAATGCCCCAATCACCAAACAAGCAAGTCAGTTTTTGTCTTTTTTCCCCTCCTGCTGTGGGCTAGCAAGTAATTATTTACACTGATCAGAAAAGCCTCACCAGGAGAGCTTGATCCCAGGAGACTGTCCCTCAGGGAGACAGGAGACCCAGCTTTAAACCTCTCTTTCAGATCGGACAACAGGAGCATACTAATTCTTGGCACCATGTCTCAGGGGAGAGCTGCAGCTGCTGGTTCGTTGGATAAATTGATCCTGGCTTAGGCATCCCATACCAGGAATCCCAAACAAAGTCTTTCCTTGCAGCCTGGAGTAAGGCATTAAAACCCCCTGCATTTCTTTTTGCTTACCCTGGCAGCCCTCCAGCACTCCTGGAGGGTGATGGCATTGTGTCATGAAATATATAAGTTGTCATAGAATCATTTAGGTTGGAAAAGACCCTCAAGATTATCAAGTCCAAGACCACCACTAAACCATGTCCCTAAGTGTCACATCTACACATCTTTTAAGTATTTCCAGGGATGGTGACTCCACCACTTCCCTGGACAGCCTGTTCCAGTGCTTGACAACCCTTTCAGGGAAGAAATTTTTCCTAATTTCCAATCTAAACTTCCCCTGCTGTAACTTGAGGCTATTTCCTCTTGGACTATTGCTTGTTATTTGTTCGGGCAGGTAGGGCTGCCATCTCCTACCAGTGCATGTAACACAACTGTTGCATCTGCCCTGTAGGACCTTTTCCTACATCTTTCTAAGGGTATGTCAGCACTGGGACCAAATACATGATGGTCAGCTCCAAAATAGCTCTTGGCTGCCCTGTATGGGAACTGGCTGGCCTAGTTCATGGAAAGATACTCATGCCTATTTCTATCCCTGTGGGATAAAGCATGACAGTGCAACATGAGCTTCCAGCTGATCATATGCAGAAGAGGCACAGCTGGTATTGTGCCCTACTGTGGAAATGTCATATCAAAAGAGCAGGTTACAGATCTCTTAGCATGTTAGCTTCCGGTTTTGGTTGTTTTTTTTTTTATTATTTGGTTGTTGTTTTGTTGGTTTTTTTTAATGAGGACTCTTCTAAATTATTTACTCTTCAATAAGTTTCTTGAAGAAATTAAAGCAGATACAGCTACTGCTCCCAGCCTCTAGAGGTTAATATTCACGTAGTGTGATGTGATCCTCCCTGAATTAATGCACAGCAGCAGCATGTAAATACAAAAGGTGAAGCATGAGGCTGCTTTCTCAAATATTTGGGATGTCTAGCACTTGATCTGCTTACAGTGTATCAGAGGCATCGTGGCTTCCCGTGCCTGGGAAAAGTGAAAGAGAGGGAAAATGCAGAGCACAGCTGCCCCAGCCAGACGTTTTCCAGAAAATACAGCAATTCATTGTCATCTCAGTTGAACAGCCTGGAGTTTGTGAGACACTGCACCAAGAGCCACATTCAAGAGAGGGCTGGGCCTTAATATAAATTCAGGAGCCACTTTGGTTCCCTCCTTATCTGAAGCTTCCCAAGTCTGACATTGTCCAGAAGCAGTGTATGCGCCTGTGTCATGGGATACTGCCATGCTCTTAAAATACACATCTGTTGCCTGGTGGACTGAAAATCCTGTTTGGATTGTTGCTAAGGTTTTAGAAACAAAAGTGATTAATTTTTGTAGTAGTTTCTGCGCATATAAAAATTTCAATTAAATATTGTTAAATTGTTCCCCTGTATGTCCTGTTTTGATTAACAGAAAATGTACAGAATCTAGACACTGGATAACAGGAACGATTCATATGTAATTCAACTTATAGGAGACATCTTTAATGTTCCCCAGTGATTTACAAATCAACTCTAATTGGCTGAGAAGCAAAAACGTGTATGATTGCCTTCACCTTCCCATCCTGAGAAATCCTCCTGGAATTTGAAGGTTGAATTGACCTGGTTTCTTTATTAGCTTATGTATTTCAAGATATAAAGAATCTGTCATCAGACCTTTCCTAACCCTCCTGTTGATGGACTGTTAGCGAGAGCCACTTCCATGGAGCTAATGACTTCATGGGACTGATGACAGCAGAAGTCAGAAATGTATCTGGGTCAGGAAGGGCTGCTTGCTTTGGATGCTGCCTAGACATTTCTAAATGAGGCACATGTGACTGAATCACCTTCACAGGGAGCCTCACAGTCACCAGGGAAATGGAGAAGATAGAAGAGTTAATACATAATAGAAAATACATGCAAAGCCCGCATTAGGAAGATACCGTTTCCATACAGCTGTCTTGCAGAGGGCCTTAACACCTCACATGGGTGGTGGCACCACATTGCCCATGCTGTGACAGTATAAAAGAAACCCCTGCCACTGTTTAAAACAAAAAAAGTAAGATTCATAGCCAGGATCTGCATGGGGAGGATAAACGAGAGCAGAGCTTCAAAACTCAGTGTGGTGTCAGGGCTAAGCATGTTGGCAAATCAGCTCCCATGGGGTGCTCAGCAGGCTCTGCACTGCACTACACAGAGTATATATTGAGCTACATGTACTGAGCCAGGCTGCCATCAGCTAAAGTTTTGTTTCTCATGCACTTACAGCCCAACCTGTACACAGCTGACAGCTTGCTTGGCGGGTGCAGCCATGGAGCCCTGCTGACCGCAGGTCCTTCAGCCAACATCAGCACTGGGACCCTTCCCAGGTACCCTCTGCTCTCATCAGACAGCCCCTGTGTGTGTTACAAGTGGATCAGCCCATTGCTGCTGTCTGAGGAGCTGCCACCACTGTTTCCAGCCACCGGCAGTTTATCCACGTTTTTTGACAGTTAGCTTTTTTAGTCTCATGTGCCCTCCCATCTGCACACAAAGATGGGTCACTGAGCACCTGTGATGGTTTGTCACCTTTTGTTCCAGTAATTCCCACTCCTGCTCTCCCCCAGTACCAGCCGCGGTTGAAAGAGGAACTGCAGAGGAGCAAATTATTTCCAGCTCTGACATGTCTGCTATGCATAGAGCCCTGCTTGGGCTAAAAAGCAGCCTCCACCCAGGGCAGAAAACATCTGTTGCCCTTGGACTTCACTCTGTCCCATTTCGTCTGCCCTGCTTTACATCTCTGCTCTGCCAGACGAGGCTCAAGCTGGTATTTACAGCCTTTTGCCACCCAGGGATTGTTGTTTGCCTGTTGGAGAGAAGCTCAGAGTAGCTCAGTATGTCTTCCCTGGACATACCTTGAGGAAGGCCATGTTTCTTGTTGATCTCTGCAAAGGCGCACCAAGCCAAATATTCTGATTTGTAAAGGCTTTCCTTCCCTAAGTTAGGGACATCAGCAGCAAATTTTTCCCTGTCTAGGCATCTTGAAATTTGGTTGTTACTGCAGGCTTAGACCAATCATTCAAGGTTGGGCAGCAGAGCAATACTCCTGAGTTTTTATATGAAAACACAGCACCAAAGGCTTACACTTCAAGATGCCTTCAGAAGCGAGTACCTGGCTCCTGCTGAGTGCCAGCAGGCAAGCTCAGGGGCCACCATCTCTGATGGTGGCAGGAAACCACCAGTGAAGGGACCACAGTTTAAAACCCCTCTTGCAAGCAACCTTTAAAGGGAGCTGGAACCATTCAGGCAAAATATTGTCTCTGGGTGCTTGGGAGCCATGGTCTGAGCTGAAAATGGGGTAAGTTTGTTTCTGCAGAACAGGGGCTGGGCTCTTGCTGCTTCCTTGAGTGATAAAGGGCTCTTGACTCCCCATTTCAAGAATCAAGTCCATCACACAGCCTGATGCATGACAGACTGGGTCATGAACCAACACAGATCTCTAGGACAAAGAAGGAAAACCTTGAGGGCTGTTGCCCGTCTCAGAACAGAGCACTTCTGTCTCCACAGTCTCATTTCCCTGTAGATGATGGCAATTACCTGAATGTATCTTTGCTCTGTGTGAAACTGCAGCTTCACCAGCGTCTGACAGTGCCAACTGCTGGTCCAGAGCCACGATGCTGAAGCTTCACCCCGCCAGTCAGCAGCCTCTTGCCAGCCATGGACCAGCAGGCAGTGGAACTGGCAGCTGCAGCTTGGGAGGAGCATTTGCAAGCTGCCCACACTTATGTGCTTGACAGGAGCTGGGGGCTGCTGCTTCACATGGAGGCAGACCCCACCTCTCAGCCGAGTTGGCAGCATCTTCTGGGAAGCTCCTGCTGCATTTCTAATATTACACTTAACCTCTGATTACAAAAAGAAAACTGCAGTCTGGAGTGCTACCCAGGAAAGGCTTCCAGTTGTGTTTTATTCTGAGAAATGCAAAAATACTCACTGCTTTCTCTGTGCTACATATGGTTACTAAATAGTGTAAAAAAATATAGGAAAATAGCCAGGCACTAGATCCTCTGCTAACTACCACGTGTTCCTCTTCCCTTTAGTCCACCCTTGGATTTATTGCCTTGGTAATCAGCACTCTGCACACACTCACATACGGATGGTCGAGGGCCTTCGATGAGAACCAGTACAAGTTCTACCTGCCTCCAACCTACACGCTCACGCTGCTTGTCCCATGTACTGTGATTCTAGCAAAAGTCATCTTCAATTTGCCCTGCATCCAGCAAAGACTTCAGCGAATCAGGAGGGGCTGGGAGAAGGGGAGATACGTGAAGTTTGTTCTGCCCAGCGCAACAGGGGAATATTCAAGTGGGGAGACCTCTAGCAATGTCTAATGGAGCCCTGGCTGTGACAGAGTATTACAAAGCACTATCAACATTTCTATAAAGATGTTTCTTTTTTTTTATATATATGTATGTTTTGGTATAATTGTGGGAAAATAATAAAACCTGGTGACTTTAGAAAAATGGATGACCATGAAACTAGTTTAGACAGTAGTAGTTAAATTATATTGCCAATTTGCTAGGACAGTTATTGCCTTAAAAATGACTGTGAAAGCTGAGCTAGCAGCACTAATACATGGGAAACTGATGGGCTCCATTAGTCAGATCAGTCACTTGAGGTACTGTCTGGCAGCTCCCCAGACCAGTACTTCTCAGTTGATTCCCTAGCTGCTCTCATAAATTTCAATGCCTTTTATTTTTTTAATATGAAGTGGCACAGTCACTGCAAGGTTAAAACCTCGCCTTTATGCCCAACAGAAGTAAGTTTTGCATCTCTGCTCTGCCTACATAACTTTCACACCCACGTACCCTTTCCCATCAATGGCAAAGGGATTATTTCCATGAGCAGAAGCAGAGTCAGGCATCTGCACCTACCTGAGGAGCTAGCTCTGTCAGTGAGTCAGCATGGTGCTTTTCAGATGGACACAAGCCCAGATGGACAGACGAGCCAGCTCAACATCCCCACAATAACTGCAGCTCCACAGCCTCTAGAAAAACGCTGGTCAAGTGTCTCCAGGTAATGCCTGTGCCGACATACTGTCCAGCCAGTCACGGTCTCTTTGAAGGACTGAAACCAATTCCTGCAAATGCAGAACAGCATTTCAAATGGTGCCCTTTGTAGGCGACTGATCCTTAAAACCTTTGACACAACTGTTTGTGTAACTTCTGGTTCTGGAACACTGAGAAGCAGCTTGAGGAATTTTTCTGCTACCTTTTCCCTACACATTTTTAATGTGGATAGGGGGTTCAGTGAAGTTAGCTTAAAATGTACCAAAACTGGTTTTGTACTTGGAGTTTTTCTCTCTCTCTGTATATATGTACACACAGAGATATATATATTATTGCAGAACATATAACTGGAATGTAAACTCTTTATATTTTTATTTTCTGTATTGCCTACCATGTGCCTCTGGGATATGAAAGAACCAACTGAAAAGCTGTAAGAGTAAGGCCAGTTTTAATCACTGGCATCCATAGTTTATAAAAGATATTCTGAACTGATCTATATAATTATATCAGATCTTGTTTGAGTCTTTCTTCCCTTCTCCCCTTAAATAATACTATTACTTTAATGGCAGTAGTAGAGTTGTATGATTACCTAAAATTTATGGAAATAAAGCTTATTACTGCCAGAAGCTGGTAGAGTCTCATTATCAAGGTAATAAGTGACAATTATCATTATAGAATAATAGAACAGTTAGGGTTGGAAAGGACCTTAAGATCATCTAGTTCCAACTCACCTGCCATGGGCAGGGACACCTCACACTAAACCATGTCACCCAAGGCTCTGTCCAACCTGGCCTTGAACACCGCCAGGGATGGAGCATTCACAACTTCTTGGGCAACCCATTCCAGTGCCTCACCACTCTCACAGTAAAGAACTTCCTCCATATATACAATCTAAACTTCCCCTGTTTAAGTTTTAACCCATTACCCCTTGTCCTATCACTACAGTTCCTAATGAAGAGTCCCTCCCCAGCATCCCTATAGGCCCCCTTCAGATACTGGAAGGCTGCTATGAGGTCTCCACGCAGCCTTCTCTTCTCCAGGCTGAACAGTCCCAACTTCCTCAGCCTGTCTTCATATGGGAGGTGCTCCAGTCCCCTGATCATCCTCATGGCCCTTCTCTGGACTTGTTCCAACAGTTCCATGTCCTTCTTATATTGAGGACGCCAGAACTGTACACAATACTCCAGGTGAGGTCTCACGAGAGCAGAGCAGAGGGGCAAGATCACCTCCTTTGACCTGCTGGTCACACTCCTTTTGATGCAGCCCAGGATACGGTTGGCTTTTCGGGCTGCAAGCGCACACTGAAGCTGGCTCATGTTCATTTTCTCATCAACCGGCACCCCCAAGTCCTTCTCCGCAGGGCTGCTCTGAATCTCTTCTCTGCCCAACCTGTAGCTGTGCCTGGGATTGCACTGTAGGACCTTGCACTTGGCATGGTTGAACTTTATGATGTTGGCATCGGCCCACATCTCAAGCATGTCAAGGTCCCTCTGGATGGCATTCCTTCCCTCCAGGGTATAAACTGAACCACACAGCTCAGTGTCATCGGCAAACTTGCTGAGGGTGCACTCAATCCCACTGTCCATGTCAGTGACAAAGATGTTCAACAAGACCGGTCCCAGCACTGATCCCTGAGGGACACCACTCGTTACTGGTCTCCAGCTGGACATTGAGCCATTGACCACAACTCTTTGCATATGGCCATCCAGCCAGTTCTTTATCCACAGAGTGGTCCATCCATCAAATTGATGTCTCTCCAATTTAGAGACAAGGATGCCGTGTGGGACAGTGTCGAACGCTTTACACAAGTCCAGGTAGATGACATCAACTGCTCTACCCCTGTCCATCAGTTCTGTAGCCCCATCATAGAAGGCCACCAAATTGGTCGGGCAGGATTTCCCCTTAGTGAAGCCATGCTGGCTGTCACCAAGCACCTTGTTGTTTTTCCTGTGCCTTAGCATGCCTTCCAGGAGAACCTGCTCCGGGATTTTGGCAGGCACAGAAGTGACACTCACTGCTCTTTCTATCCCTGACCGCCGCGCCGCGCGCTGTTCCCGCGCTCCCGGGGCGGGCTTTCCCCCGTCGGGGCGGGGCCGTCCCTCCTGGCACCGCCGCTGTGAGTCCCTGCCCGCCTCAGCGGAGCTGCGGCTCCTGGGCGAGGCCTGGCGGGGGCTCGAGGCTCCCTGGGAGGTTCTCGCCGCTCAGAACTGAGGCTCCGGGGCTGGAGGCTCCTCTCTGGAGCTGCTCACCTCGGCAAAGAAAAAAACCAAACCATTGCTGTGACCTATGGTGCCAGGGCCTCAATTACAGAGTTCCTGTGCGTGTGGGGTGGCACAAGTGTGTACAGACATACGTTTTATCACCTGAGGCAGTGATACTACACAGTGCTTGTAGAACAGGATCAAACAAGCTTAATTCAGTGAACAAAAAGCGCTGTTGGTACAGAGTTCAAGGAAGAAGGTGTTCCAGATGAGGGTTTATGGGACTGGAAAGAAAAAGGGAGTTTAATACTAACAATTTGTTCTCTCTTTCTTAAGTCACTCCTCCATAGAAGTGGCATACCAGATCAACCAACTTCGGGATCTGCAGCGCTGCATTTTAATGAGCTAATTTGTAAGCTGATATTAATGAGTTCATTTAAATTCCTGTGCTGAAGATTAACCTCTGTAGGTACAGTTCTCTCGCTCCTTCTGTTTTATAATACAAAGCTTTTAACAGTGCAGTTGTTTCTTTTGCTCTTCAGGGACTTACTTACAAAGTGATATATCAAACTACAGTTAATCTTTAGGGGGATGCACTTGCTTCAGCACCTCAACATAATGTATTTCCTCCAGCCCCTCCAACATGGCCAGCACTGCTGCCATGACCTGTTACAAAGAGCATGAAAAGCCTAGTGGTATCCTTGAGCTCAGATTTCATGCACTGGGCTAGCAGGACCTACAGGCCTCGCCTCAGGTTTGAGGAACAAGATAAATTACTCCCACACAGATTTTCTTTTTACCTGTTGATTTTCTGCCTGAATAAGCAGCGTCAGTTTCGCAGAATTTCTGCAAAAGGTTTTTTAGTGCAAGTCAGAACCATGCATATTTTTAAGCTGAGCATACAATATACAGCAGGAAGATACCATCTATGATTAGGGACAGTCCTTGTTAGCAGGGCATGTGCAGTACTTTCATAATCAAAGTCTAAAAATAACCATTGTGTTTGGTCAGTCATGAGGATCATATGTTATAAGCCATAGTATTACTGGAACCTTTCAAAAGCTTAAAGTGGCACTACTGTACTCCTAGAAGGATAATCTGCTTTAGATTTAGAAACCTCAACACTGGAGGATCCACTACAGCTGCTCTTCAGCTGGTTAGTTACTGTTGTTATCTGTCTCCTGTATCTGATCTGCAATTAGCTAGCTTCAGCTGCTGCATGCCAGCCTGCTGGCTTAAAGAGCTATCTACAATCAGATGTCTGCTTTTAAGTAGCTGTCTCATTCAGTGCTCTAGAAAACCAAGTTGCTCTGCAAGATTCAAATCTGCTTTCTGCAGAACCAGGATTATTTGATTTGGGAGGGATAGGGCAGGGGAGTAGTGTTAAGAAATGGCCATGATACTAACTGCTAGGATATTAAGCTTTCATTTCCAGATTAGATTGCTGCTTTGACTCTAAAACAAACTGATGTCCCCAAGTTGGATGGACACAAATACATGCATAGAGCCAAAGATGTGACCTCAAAGTAGTGTGAAAAACAGACCAGTATCACACCTTCCATTTTAAAAGTCTCTGTTCACTGGAAGAAAAAAAAAAAAAAAAAAAAAAAGAGGCTTCCCAGACTGCCCTTAAATAATATGTTCCTTAGGCTTCAGGTTAGAAAGCAGGATTAAACCTTTCCAAGATGTGGAATGACAGCAGACAGCAGTAGTTCTTACAGTACTTGCTTACATTCCTGGTACATGACTCTAAGTCACCTGCCAGGGAGCAGAAATGGACATACAAAGGTAAACTCTCATATTAATCTGTCATACTGAGCTTTTGAATGTATTTATTACCAGTTAAAACTCCCACTTTTCTAGCTAGCTGCTTTTGGCCCACTGCAAAGGAAAGAACTCTTGTTATCAGACAGAGAGGATGCTAGCAAACAAAAGGTGCAACCCATATCTGACTAAAAATACCGTATCTATAGGAAGATGAAATCTCTATGCCTCTCTTCTTACCCACTGCCCAAACACCCACCTCTCCTCTCAGCTATCTGCCATGCACACCATGCTTCAAGATAAGGTCCCAGTCCCCAGTGAAGCAGAACTGGATGCTGTTCAGAAGGAAGAGAAGCAAGGGTAACGCTTCCCAAACAACCTGCACCACCATGCTGGCTGCACACATACACACAGAATCAATAAGCAGTTTTTCATACACAACAAGCTGTGGTAAACCTCTAGCATGGCACCACTGCTAAGAGGGTAGAAGAAAAGAACTAAAGAAGCAGCCCAAAACAGAAACTTCCCTTTCTTCAATATTCTCCCTGGCATCTGCAAGCTGCTGCAAGAAAAGTGACAGGAATCTTAGTGAAAGCTCTGTCACACCTTGTCCCTGTGCAACAGCTCAAATTTACCCATTTAACCAGGCATCATCTGTTCACACTTCAGTCACTGGCAGCATAAAGCTGGGCACAGTGCTTGGGTTTGGGCCCTGAAACTCATATCCCATCTCAGCTAGCACCAGCTCAGAAAGCATGGAACAGAGAACACAGTGCAGTTTCTCCTTATCCCTTGTACTACAAGGAAAAACTAGCAGGAGTTTAGGGTCAGAAGCACAAAGAATACATTTGTTGTGTGTTTAAGCTGTGTTGCTGAATATGCTTTGCTCTGCTTTTCATGTGTCTATTCTGGGTCGTTTACCTTGTGTTAAAAATAAAAAAAAAAAAATAAAAAAATAGGCACACTTAAAGTCTACTTAACAAAATCTCAGCAAATTAACACTGATCTTTTCCAGACAATTCTTCAAATGAATGTTCTGCAAATGCCTCCTCACAGCATGCAAAGATTTAGATATGCTGGAACTCACTCTGCAAAGGATGCTGTCCAACAAGAGGAATTTAAGCACTCATACCAGTTCAATTAGCTGCTTTTTGATTTTAATATAAAAAGAAATATTTTCTGCAAGGAAAGATTCAGCTTTCATCACCAGAAACCTCATGCAGACTTTGCAGACTAAACCAATTCACAGATAAGCATGTAAACATATGTTGGCTTACAGATTGTGCAGAATGAAAGAACAGGCTGTGCTGACATCTGGTGGCTTTCTCTGCAGGCAAAGATACTTCATGGCAAGAGGTCTTAGCTTTTCACTGCTTTTTACATTCTTGATATAACTTCTTGCTTCCTTTCCAGATAGATACAAAGCATTATGGTAAAAACATTTTTGTTTCCACTCACCAGTGGACAGTGCTATCCTATGCAAGTCCTGTAAATCAACAAAGGATCCTTTGGTGTGCACTACTAGGGTAGTATAGATCT